TAGTATAGCTTTGTGGAAAACAGTGTGGCGATTCCTAAAAATCGACCTTCCATATGACCCCACAATCCCCCTACTGGGAATATACCCAGAAGATCTCAAATCACTCTATAAAAAACATACCTGTACATGTATGTTTATCACAGCATTGTTCACAGTAGCAAGAACATGGAACCAACTGTGCTGCCCATCAAAAGAAGACTGGATTAAAAAATGTGGTACATAAATACAATGGAATATTATACAGCCATAAAGAACAAAATCATGAACTTCACAGCAACCTGGATGAACTTAGAGTCTATAATACTGAGTGATCTTTCACAGAAACAAAGAACTGAGTATCACATGTTCTCACTCATAAGTGGACCTTGAACAATTATCACAATACTATAAAAAAAGAATTGGCAGTAGCGGGAAATTGCCCAGAGGGGAGCAGGGAAGCAGGATTGGCAGTAGTGGGAATCTGCCTGGGGAAGCTGGGGGGACACACCTCATCAACAAGGGTACTTGCATAATGAACATTTGTATACCTAACCCTGAATTGTACCCCACATCTTATTAAAAAAAACAAACAAGAGTTCAGTTGGGGACAACTTCAAGGTGGCAGTGACAGAAAACAACTGAAATAGGGAATTTTCTCAGTAAGATATGGAAATTATTTTATTCAGAGTGCATATTTTTACCCTGATCACTCAACCCAAAGTATGTGGATGTGTTTAGCGATGGAGTTTGTGACAGCATGGTATGAAACTGGCACTTGCATGTCTGCATGTACACACTATTAGTATGCCTGATTCATTTGGTCTATTCATGTGGAAATTTTTTTAAAGTAATGGATTCTGCAAGGTTTGGAGAAAACTGTTTGAGTGCTTGCATGAAAACAGTATTTTCTACTGATAGTTGGAGCTGTAGTTTGAAGAGAGTAAATGTGGCCTTCTATTTGCAGAGCCTGCTTTCCATCCTTTTCTCAGACATTAAAGTGACTGGTAATTGCCACTCTTAAACTGAATCCTGGATGAATGACAGTGATTCACAAGTGTTGGAAAAGTGCTGCTGAAATCTGGAACATATTTACTGCAATTGTTTAGACACTCTGAGATCAGACCTTCATTGGATGTGATGGATGGAATAGAAGAAGAAAAGATAAAACATTTCTAACTGGCAGTAACATTTCTTAGGAATTGTTAGGGAAGAAGCAGGAAGCAAAGTGATTTTCAGAAGTAGAGGATTCCAGCATAAATCCACTTTTCAAAATGCCTTTGCTGCCAATAAAATATAAGTCATGGTGTAAAAGCAAGGGAATTTTGCACTCTCTTTGCTGTTGACATGATATATTGGTATTGTCTGCTCTCCCAAAACTCCTACTATGTTGTGAATTCTGCAGACATTTAATTTCACTCACTTTACTGCACGACTCTGTCACCCACACTACCCTGGGGCTAACACTCCACGGGTGCATTGTGGGAAGCCTTCCCCTTCTTCTGAAGCATCAGTTATTGACTGTTGCTTCAGGGAGAATAAGCCTGATGTCTGTCTTCCTGTTGGAGTGACAAGTTTTGTGAACGTCCTGTCCATATTTCTGATATACTCTTTCCCTATTTTAATTTTTTCAATTATAAAAGTAAAAAAAGTCTAAAGTAAAAATGAAAGTTCTATCATTGTCCTTCCATGATGCCCATTCTAGTTCCCCAGGAATAAGAAAGGCTAGAAATTTGGTGGTAATATTGTTGCTTTCCAATTTTAATTTGAACATAGATGACTATATTCGCTACCATCCTGTGTATGGAAACAATGTCAGAACACCATCAAGGTAACCTAAACAGCTTATGGGGGAAACCTAGCCTTTCTATTTTATCCTCCCACAAATATACCTGTATGTATATCCTTCAGAGGTTGCAGACTCTTTATTTTTGGGCTCTATTCAGTCCCCAAATGTATTTCCTATGGCTTTCCCAGTGTTTTAAAAATACATGAATTGATTGCCAACATTTGAAAAACAGGATATTTCACAGAAAATCTGGGGTTTGGCTAATTCTAATTGGATGACCTGCAGCCCTAAAGACACATGCTCATTGGGAACAAGAGGCTAGAAATAAGCAGTAGCAGCTTCCTAGGACACACAGTCTGCCATTTGCCATAACCCACCAACTGCTCCCTGCTGTGTTACATCCGGCCATCTGCAGTTGCTACTGGTCCCTTTAGACATTTGCATTTGCAATCCCAGTCACTGAGTGTCAAATTTGAGAACAAGTGATATAGATAAGGTGACTATATAATTAATTTAATTAATTCTCCAAACTGGGACACTTTGAGAGTAAAGAGTGTGCTGTTAAAAATTACACCAAGCCCACAGGCAAAAACCAGAAGGGTCCCAGACAAACAAAGATACATGGTCTTCCTATTTACAGACCACTTCATTCAACCTCTTGATTTCACTGATGAGAAAACTGAGACCTAGAAAGTGGTAGTAAACTGCTTGTGGTTGTCACCAAGCACATTAATGACAAAGCCACCTTAAGTACCTGTTCCATAGTCCACTGCTTTTTCCAGTATTACTTGCTCTATATAATGTGTATGAGCACCATATCCTCTTTGAATATATGGATTTTTTAATAGCTAATAGTTATCACATAGCTAATTTCCTGTGAAAGCCCAAAGATTGGTAGCTTATATTATTAGTGACATTTCTATTATGAACTGAAGTAATGATTTGCATCATAGCATATCCAGAGATGTTTAAAACATTAGTAGACTTGAGAACTAGAGAATGAATACAAGCAAAGCTTCTCATTTTACTAGATACAACAAGAGATATAGTTAGAAGTACTAATTGTCCAAATTGAAGCGCGTGTGCATGCGCGCGCGCGCACACACACACACACACACACACACACACACACACACACCAAAAATTCACCGTTAAGTGTCTGATAATTGGCTTGCTAAAAAACATTGGTTGTTGCCTGGTTCTCAAGGGATGACCAAGGTTTCAAATTTCCAAATCTTTGACCAGCTGTTTATTGCTTTATTGAGGTTTTATGAGATATTTGTACAGAGAACACTCCATAGGAGATGGATGCATGCTCTCAGCTACTTGCTGAGACTTTGGTCCCAAATCCCTATCCCGTCTCCTACTCTAGGGAACTGTGTTAGCTTTAGGGGCACCTTTTAGCCTTTTGGGAAGGCTCAGGTCAAAGGCTAACCTGAGAAGACACCTTTCTCCAGTGCCTCCACTGGGCTCCCACTTGTCCTTCCAAGGGACCTTGTAAGCAGCAGAGCCATCTTACTATGCTACATGCACAAGATAAGGACAGAAAGAAGGAAGCCCTTTGGCCAAAACCAAAAACAGAGTTGGTCTGTCACACTCACCTCATACTTCCTTTGCTTTGGAAAACACTGTAGTCCCAATTAGTTTTTTAAACATGGGACCATCACTCACACAGACCAGGATGCTGTTACCACACTGGCCTCATAGAGTTGAGGAAAGCCAAGAAGAAGTAGAGTGAGCAAAGAGCCCCTTTATCCCACTCACTAACATCTTTCCCCAGCATGCTCCCCAAATGTCCTGGGGAGCCCCTTTTTCCTCTTTCTTCACCAGAGCTTCACTTCTGTGGGGTGGCTTAATAGAGGTGGAGACCACTGACCAGCCATGACCTTTAGACTCAGGATTTGAACTTCACACTGGGTAACCTTTTCTTTAATGCACCTCAACAAACTTTAACAGGACAAAATTGTTTTTGAAATGAGCTGAATCTGTATGCATGAAACAGACTGCTAGAGCTGCCCAATAGCAACATGTGCTACCAGGCCCTTGAAATGATAATCATTTGGTGATACTCATATAAGTTAGAGATAGTATCACATTGATTTCATCTGTTTCTTTTTTTCACTTTTTATTGTCATTACTAGAAAAGGTAAAATTACCCACATTGCCTGCAATATATTTTTATTGGACAGCGCTATGTCTGGAGGCACCTAAATGAGGTAGGATCTAGTTGCATTTTTAGCTGCTTCAGTGACTTTTTACCATCATCACACATCTGAAGGGAGGGAAGCTGGCTAGTTGTTTGCCAATGCAACTTACCAGTTTATTAGCAAAGCTTCAATGTGGTAGGGAGATCTGGTATGGGGCAGAAGTTCACAACAGAATCTTACCTTGATATGAGAACATGGTGAAAGCATTCTGCATGTCTTTCTACAAATCAGGCTGGTCTTTTAAATGGACTAGTTTCCTCCCTCAAGTCTTCCAGGGTCCTGTTTCCTGCACAGTCCTTTGCCTCCTGTATCCCCCAGGATGGGGGGGAGGCACCTGTTCTGACACCGGCGTTTAGGCTTCTCTGCCATATCACGCAGAAGGCACTTGGGTGCATACAATGCCAGCTGTGGATGCCATATGGAAAAGCCATGCCGTACACATATGTATGGAGTGTTTCTGCAGCCAGAAGGAGTGTAGAGGAGTGTGTAACTGATCTAGCTTTATCTTTCCCTTGCCTTTGAAAATTTTAATCATTGAAAAATCTTTAGGCCACAAATAGAATTGTGTAGTGAGATAATTCTGAGTTAAAAGCCAAATATGTACTTTTGTTTTTATATGGACATAGGATTGTGTATGGATGTATGAAAATGCAGATTGAACATTTGGATACAGACGGGTTTGACTTTCCAATGAAGTGTATGGAGAAGGACGTATAAATGAATGGAGATGGTGCATGTCAGTCTGCTCAAGCAGATTTTTTCATATTGAAGCAGAGATTTCCTCCTCCTATAAATAGTTGGAGAGAAAGTTGTTTCTGCTTCTGCCTAAGACACTTAGATGACTGCCAGAGATTGATGGAGAAGGCTATTCTCTTGACTGAGCCAGCTGTGGTGATGTGCCTCTCACTCCACCAAGAGCATGGACCAAATGGCCCCATGCAGGGATGGCACCAACTGAGCCAGGCTGCAGGCTGTGTTTTCCTGTGCAGTAACCACTTTCCTCCTTCTTTTCCTTCCACTTCTTCTAGGCAGGACAGGGCTGCTTGCTGATCTCTTGCCCAGTTTTGCTGTGGAGATTATGCCAGGTATTCAACCATTTAACTCTTTATTTGCTTAATTTGCTATCACTTCCTCTGTCTTGCCTCTGCATTAGTCACTAATTGCTCCTTTGCATATTTGTCTATATATGTTTGTGATTTTTTTCCTCCAGGATGAACAAAACCCATTGGAAGAGACTTTAAATAGCGTCCCTTCTGTTACTAGGCCCTAGAAGAATAATGGTTACTTAAAATAGGCTGAGATGGGAACCCAGTCCTTCAGGGTCAGGCATGCAGGCTCTTTGGCAATCTCCCTGCCCATTTCAGTATCTCAGCTGTACCCAGATAGCTATAAGTATTCCTAACAGAACAGCTTATCTGCATTCCTTATTTCCTAAGTTATATGTCTACCCATTCATTATTGTTCAACCACGTTACCCTGCATTACCTTTTATAAAATTTCCTTTTTTTCCCAAACCTTAGGAAAGCTATGCACCCCTCTTCCCTTGAAAAATACACATTACAGACCTATATTACTTTGTATATGATTTCAGGGGTTTATTAGTCACCCTAGCTCCCTAGGGGTCCATGGACCATTTATAAAGGACATCTGCCCCAAATACACATCTCTGTTTTGCATGTGGCTTCAGTTGAACACACCAGCTGAGACAAGCCAGCATCAGTTTGGCACAGACTATAATTTATAACTAAAGGAGGCTCAGAGAGAAGCAAGAATTGTCTGGGGAGAGAACATGTCCACACTCGAAGAGTAGAAAAGGGTATGTGATTCAGTCTCCTTAGAAGGGTCTCTGCCAAAGCAATAGAGATACAAAATATTCCTGGCTTACTTCAAGTAAAAATATTTGGCTTACTTCAAGTTTTAAGAAACATCCAGAGTCTTCACAATTGAACTTCATTAATTATTCTCCCATGAATTCTTCTAGTCCTTTCTCATTAGTTGGGCATCCCAAACATAGACATTCTTATTGATGTTGCTCCCAAGGACACAAATAGATATCTTTTTGTAATTCCCCTTATCCAGAGTTCCCTCAATTTGTAGCATTTGTTCCTCACACACACAAGAAACAATGCTACACTGCAGTGCTTCCAGCTGGATGTTTTCTCTCCCAGTCTCAGAAAGTGTTACTGTATTTTTCATATCTGGCCCTATAGCCTGAATTTCCTTCCCTTTGACTTCAAGAATCCTTTCACAGATAATATTCTTTTGTGTCTCAAATACACCTTTCCAGTTTTAATCCTTGACTGACCCTAGTTGCAGCTACCATTCCATACAGCTCATCTAAACCTCAGAGCTCATGTCTGCCTTGGGCTTATTATGTTACTGTGTTATTAAGAGGGCCCAGGCAAAGGCCTTCTGCTAACTATTGTCCTTGGCAGGAATAGTCTCCAGACTATTCTAGACGGGCATAAGGTCTTCTTGTTCCTGCACTGAGAAGAGGTTGACCTGGTTAATTTGACTGTGTCTCAGATGAATAAGTGAGGGGGTACATTCAGGAAACAGAAGTTGTTTTCCCTCTGGAGAATTTATATTCTAAACAAAGTCAAATTTTTTTACCATTTTGATTTTTTACCAGAATCAAATAATTTTACCATGATCAAAAACCCTTTATAGAACAAAAATGTCATATTCTTAAGCTCTCAGCTGAATGTACATTTAATTGAAGAAATATTTAGTAATCAAAATTTAAGAAAAACAATGTGTATTTGAGGTTCATTGTAAAGGAATTTAGGGTAGATGGTTTTTAACCAAAATGAATCTCTTTAGTCTTTTGGCTTCTAAAGGAAAGCATGGCTCACTCTAGTCTGTCCAGGTCTCCAAGGGGTAAGCTGGGCTCCATAGCTAAGTCCCCAAAGCATGATATTGAGATATGTCACCTGAGAGCCACGGTCATTTTTATCTCAGCCAACTAGAATTTGTTTACTATTTCTTAATCTTTTAAAAGGGCAGAGCTGTGGAAATAGCAGAAGTTAACAAACATGCCCAGATAGACATCTGTCGGCCTAGCCACTCACCCAAGCTCTGAGCCACTTGAGCCCTTGGCTATGCTGGCTATCTAGCATGGTTAGCTTGAGTGTCCTCAAATCAAACCCAGCCTCTGTGGATGAGAGCCATCTTTGTCTGAGGCCATGTCTCTAGTTTTCTCCAGCAGTGAATTGTTGTCCTGATATAAGCAAAAAGTTTGGATCTCAGCACTGGTGTTCTAGGAAGCACTGTGTTCACAGGAAAGGTGTCCTAGGTGTGATCAGGAGCGGAGGCAGGTGAATACATAAAGGACTGGGAACCACCTGAATATGGTCAACTTTTAGACCATGTAGAGACCTTTTTTTCAGGACTTACACTTTCATAGACAGGGTTAACTTGAGTACAAAATATAAGTATTCACCAAACCACCACGCCATAGACAGGCAGGCAAGGTTCTCCCTCCCCACAGCTGGGATTCTTTCTGCTCTCTTTCCATCCTTGTTCTGACACTACAATCAATCTAGCAAACTCTTTCTCCAGTATGGGAAATCCCCCCCCAACTGCTGTGTGCTGGTCATTACATGTGCCCAAGATGACATAGATAATCTTCTTCCCTCTTCTCCATGCCCCAGCCCCATGGGGGATGGGGTGGGACTGTCCTCCTCACTTTCAGAGTTCCTCTTGAGTCTTGGGGCTCTTAACAGGGCTCTATCCCCTGTTAAGAGAGGATTTCCTCCCCAGATCCCTTCTCCTCTCCCCTTTCACAGAAAGGTGCCAATCAGAGTGGGTCCGGTCCTAAGGTGGGCTGCCTCGAGTGTGGATTTCTTTGTGCATCCTTCCAGAGTGGGTGTTTGTCGGCCTGGTTCTCCTGGGAGTCTTCCTCTTCTTCGTCCTGGTGGGGATCTGTTGGTGCCAGTGCTGCCCTCATAGCTGCTGCTGCTACGTCCGCTGCCCGTGCTGCCCAGATTCCTGCTGCTGCCCTCAGGCCTGTGAGTAGAGTGACAAGTGGGGCAACATGGAGTGATCAGAAGAAATGTCACATCTCCATTTAACAGCTGTGTGCCCTGAGTTCCTCCTCTACTTCCTTCCATTCCACCCAAAGAGTTGGCCATTCCAGACTCTCTCCGCTGGAAGCCCCTGGCTCAGGGATGACCATTCTTGTTGCCTCCACACCTATGTGCACCTCTCCACACTTCTTATCCATACCTGTCACCCCATGCATTTGGAATCCTCATGACGCTTGACAGAATGGACAGACAGGTTCAGGGTGATGAGCTGTGGGGCAAGGCCATGCCTTCTCTCCTCGGGGCACTCAAACTAGAGGAACCCTCCTCTGGTCATTCCCTTTTTGTGCAGAGAAACTTCTCTTTTTATGAGCAGAGCAGGCAGACGGTCCTTGTGTGCCACCCAGCCTCAAATGAATTTTATTTACTTCCATGATGAACTGGGGCACAGCAGGGACTGGTGCTCATTTGGGGATTCATGATTTTTAACTTAGGCCAACCCCATGTAGGCATGAAGTTTGGCACCTTGGCCATAAACCAAGCACATCTTGCAAGAGAGAGGTACATCATGTATCTTTGGCATCTTTAGAACTGAGGCACTTTCTAGGAGGAATGAGGTTACTGGCTCTGCTTTTAAAACCACAGAGCAGGAGTTGTGTGAAAGCTCATTGCTCCTTCTCTAGGAGAGGCTCAGGACCCTCCTTGAAGCAGCCCTGGGCAGCCCCTGTGCCAGGCCTCCTCTGGAGGAGATGAGGCAAACTACAGACAGTGTGGCTAAGAGTGGGCTGCTGCTGACACTGAGGATGCTGCTGTGACAGCTCCCAGAGCCACGTAATTACTCAGCTGCCAGGTATTAAACACTGTAATTCCTTACGTTGTTGCCTTTTGGAGGAGCTGAAGGAGTCGGAAGGAGTGGGGGGGGGAGTGGCTCTGATGAACTAATTCAGTCCTAGGAGAACACACACACACACACACACACACACACACACACACACACACACACCCAGGAGCTCCCTTGTGCATCTTCAGGGACTTGTGGCATGAGGGTTGTGGGGGTGGAACAACATAATCACTCTTGCTCTTCATCTCCCTCCACAGTGTATGAAGCAGGGAAAGCAGCAAAGGCCGGGTACCCTCCCTCTGTCTCCGGTGTCCCCGGCCCTTACTCCATCCCCTCTGTCCCTTTGGGAGGAGCCCCCTCATCTGGCATGCTGATGGACAAGCCGCATCCACCTCCCTTGGCACCAAGTGACTCCACTGGAGGAAGCCACAGTGGTAAATGGAGTTCCAGACTGCCCTACCCCATGCTTGTCTTGGGCCCCCACTCTCGTTCCTTGTGATAAGTACAGTCAGTTCAGTGATGCATCTTTGGAGAATGGTTTATCTCTGTTCCAGAAGTGGGATCCTTCCAGCTATGTCAGTCATATTTTGGAGCACAAGTCAGGCCTTCCAAGGGCTGCAGGTCATTGCTGACCCTGCTTCCTCTTTAGGCTCCTCAGTAACTAAAACTGGAAGAAAAAGAGACACAGTGTCTCTTGAATATTGATCATTTAGTTAATACATAGTTACATCCCTACCTGGTATTCAGGACTGCACTAGGTCCCATGAGGGGCAGCAAGAAGTACAGCACAGGGTTTCTCTAACAAGCGGTATGGCCTGGTCAGGGAGAGAGTGTGGACCTTTATTAAGATAACCAGATGTTAAAGAGTATGGAACTCAGAGTACAAAGAAAGAGCTGGAGTGGTTTCAAAGTCTTCAGGGAGGATGTGAGATGCGAGCTAGTTCTAGGGGAATGAGCAGAATTTCAGAGAGTGCAAAGTGGGGGTTGCTGAGGCACCCCAAATAGGAAGGCCAGAGTGGCGAAATCCCAGAGCTGGGAGAACACAGTGCAAATGTCTGACAGTGTCCCACGTGTCAGACTGACGGGACAAAGGTGGAGGGATATGGCAGAGCCGAATGAAGGAGGGCCCTGAGCCCCTCTAGAAGAGCCAGGGCTTGCTGTGAGAGTCACTGCAGGCAGATTTCTGAGGGGAGAGGTAGACCATGATGAGGTGAGTGGCAAGTAGGGGAGAGTGGGGCCAGGGACGATAAGCTGAGATGTTATTGGAGTGGTTGAGGTGTGATATGTGGACATCGGGTTTACGATGGAGTCAATGGGAGTGAAACACATGGGCAAATCTGAGAGACACATCGAAAGAAGCAGTGAACGTCAAGGAGTGAGGGAGAGGAAGGCTTCAAGATGACTCAAGTTGTCTAGTGGTACAGATCATAGACAGGAGTGAAATGATTGGTAAGAAGAGCTGACCTGGGCGAAGATTAGCCCCATCTGGGACATGACACATTTGTGGTTATTGGCAGGTAGGGGTGGGGGTAGAGGTTGAGGAGCAGGGTAGGATGGAGAGATGGAGGGGCATTAAAATGTAGCTTTCCTGGAGGTGTCTGAACAGGATTACAGAGTGGTGTATGTGTTGTAGATTTAGAGGGTGACTTTAAAATCCCCAGATGTGGATGAGCCACTAGGGCTGGTAAACAGACATCACTCCCCTAGAGGTATCTGGGCTGCCTCCAGTGAGCAGTGGGGAAGGGTATCTGGCCCACTCAATGAAGCACCGATGCCTAACTGTGGAAGGAGTAGCTGTCCACAGTGAGTAATGGTATTTGTGTTTTTGCTCTCCCAGGAACTATTAGTAGAATTCTGACGTCTGAGACAGAATGAGTCACAGACTGAGAAGTAAAAGTTAATGATCAAGGACACACAGGGAACTGAGAGATAAAGACAATATAGTCTATTTCCCTTAAGGATGGAGTGGGCAAAAGAGGCATTAATGGACTTGTCTCGTACTCTTTATTTGCTTATCTTAAATCTTCTTTCTCCTTTCTTCTCACCAGAATCTTTCCCCTCCTGACTTGTTATTTAATGGATTTTTATAATAACATTCTATTCATAGAATACCAAATTCTTCCTCTCTTCTGTTTTCAGTCTTTTTCCAGTTCCTGCTTGTTGCAGTTCAACCATTTTGGTCCTGTCCATCCATACTAACAAACTGTAATTAGAAGTGGCTTCAGGATATAAAAATATCTTATTTCACATAACAAGAATTTTCAAAGTTAGGTAGTGTCAGGGTTGGTTAATTGAACAACTCTTGTGGTATTAATGAAGACCTAGTTCTTTGCACCTTCTGTTCTGTTGTCCTGAGCACATCCTTGACCTTCCTTGGCTGGATCCCCTCGTAAGCCTTGATAACTACCATATTTCTGGGTGTTACAAGCATTCAGAGATGGAAAACAGTCTGCTTCTTCCTGTGCCACTATTCTTGAGAGTAAGCAAAACTTTTGAAGTAACTCCTCCCATTCCGGAAGACTTCTTTCAGTTTTATCAGTAAGAATTGTGTCCATGCCCATTCCTAAACCAGACTGGCTTAAATTAATCAAGACTCAACCTCTTGGGCCTGAACAATTATTCACTTCAGACGTCAACAAAATCAGGGTTCACCTTAGCAAGGAGAAAGTGGAAAGATGGCAATTGATGACAGCCCAGCTAGCTTGACCCAAGCCATCATTACCTGACTGGCTGAGTCATGACAGGGTTTGTCATGATCCCCACCAGGCACACTTCTGCACTCATGGCCCCATGGGTAGTGTTAGCAATGGTGTTTGAATAGTCTTTCTTTAAAAAAGGTGGCTGAGGCCAATGTTTCATGTAGATTATTCTTGAAAGAATGTTAGAAGTATTAAGAAATGATGATTATAAAAATGTAAATTTAGCCTATTTTTAGTTATATTTTACTTCAATTTAGGGTAATTATCTAGCACCAGTAATTTTTCATATTACATTTGTACACAATAGTCTTCTGAACACTCTGTGTAGTTGAAAAGGGCATCTTGGATGAGCTTGTGTTGTATAGATAGTGGGTTACTGAATGGAAGAGAAAAAAAGAGGCACCTGATTATTTCTCCCATTCTTCATGGCCACTGCTTGAGACCTTCTCTGTTAGTATGAAAGAAGATGTCCCTCCTGTGCTACTCTGAGTCCATCCCCTTTGGCTTTGTCAAGGCTTTCTCTGTTGAATACCCACATGCCACCCTGTTCCCACCTCACATCTCCAACCTTCCCTCTTTAGTGACTCCTTCCTATCAGCATTCAAAATATGCTCAAATCTCTCCCATTAAAACATAGGACTCCTCCCCAAAAACTCTAAGGTCCTCTAATATTGCTTCCCTATCTCTTTTTTCATCTTCACAGCCAAAATCCTTGAAAGAGTCTTAAATATTAAATGTCTCCATTCCCTCTACTGTCCCCAGCTAACTTCCATCTTGCTATTGCTTTCACTGCTCCAGAAACCAGCTCTTGCCAAGACCACCTCATTGCTAAATCTGATGGAAACTTTTCAATCCCTACTTCCCTTAACTTCTCCAAAGCATTTGCCACCTCTGATCCACTCATCTTTCTTTGCTTTCTCAACACCGTACTTTGTAATTTTCCCTCCCAATCTCTCTATATGTTGGCTTTTCCTCCACTGTGCATCCTCCAGATGTTCCTGTTTTGTCTGCGATCCTCTCCCTGGGAAATCTTATTTGCTCCCATGGCTTCAGCCATCATCTATATGCTGATGGCTTCCCATCATTAACTCCAACCTCTTTTCTGCTCCCCAGTCCCATATATCCAGCGGCTTCTGGACATCTCCATCTGGATGTCTTGCAGGCATTTCAGCCTCAGCCTCTAGGAAACTGAATTAAGCCACTGCTTCTTCACTTCAAACCAGCTTCTACATATCTTATCTCAGTGGCATCATCATCTGCCTTGTAGCCCAAACCAGAAGCAGGGACCTCATCCTTATCCCTCCTTCTCTCCTACTTCCCTTATCCAGTTGGTTACCAAATTCTCCAGACTGTACCTCAAAATAACCTTGACTTGGTTTACTTTCCTCCATCTCTGCTGAAACTCTCCTAGTCCTTGCTGCTGTTACCCCTTCCCACCCTGCTTCACACAGTCGTCTCTTACCTGCTCTTCCACATCTACTCTTGCTTTGCTCGAATCCATTTTAGTCCATGTCTACCTGGCCGCTTCTCATCCTTTGTGCAAAAGAATTGAATAGGCAAGTATGGTTTTGAAATGTCATTTTCAAAATTAATAAGGATGTGTGTCTATATATATATGCCTACTGTATGTATACAGAGAATATGCAAATTTTAGAATCACTTCTCCCACAACTGAGCTGCTGTCACCTTGGGGGTGGATTCTGGCAGCTGTTCCATCATCCATAAACAGCCTTGCTTAGCTCATTAAGACAGGACAGAAAGAACAAGGCTATATATCCATGGGTATCTGCCTCAGACTTCTTTTGCAAGTTTTACAAGTCACATTTTGTCTGTAAAGGGGATATTAGCTGAAAAATAGCTGAGCCTTAATTGGGCCAAAAGTACCAGCTCAAATCCTTGAACAATAGGAATTTTTGAAGTTATAGTTTGGCATCAAAGTGAATATCCCAATATCCCCCCTCCAATATAATCAAAGTTGACAAGGCTGATAAATTAGAGGAGCTGGAGTATGAAGAGCTACACCAACCAGCGGACTTGGACCAGACTGAACTTGAAGACACAAATAAATCATCCATCAACTCTAAACTGAAATATCACCAGGAAAAAGTCATTTTCCAAATATGCTGGACTTTGGCCAATAGTCTAGGACATTTCTTAGTAAAACATCACACATCAGAGAGTTCTCTGATCTTCAGACAAATTACCGATAAAAATCAATCTGACACCATTCTGTTGCTTTCAAATCAATACAAATTTAATGAATGCCTACAAATTTTCCCTGCCCTTAAGGAATCTACAGTCTACCAGGGGTGGTTACTGGGGGCTCGAGAACAGAAATAAAATAGTTAAGTAATACAAAGCTGTATGTGATGAGATTGCTCTGTGATGCTGGCTCAACAAGGAAAACCCATCCTTGGAGAGGAGGGACCAAGAAAGGTTTTCTGGGGCATTTCATATGCTCCTGAGCGTATATGTGACATGGAACCAGAATTTACCAGGATAAGAGAAGAGTGTGGTGTGCTGCCCAATCACATTTGCAGCTTATCATTTTTAAAAAGCCCAATACCTTTTAAAGGGAGAATTAGCCGGGCTCGGTGGCTCAGCCTGTAACCCCGCGCCTTTGGGAGGCTGAGGTGAGTGGATTACCTGAGCCCGCGGGTTTGAGACCCGCCTGGGCAGCGAGATTTCATCTCTACAATAAATCAAAAAATCAGCTGGGTGTGGTAGTGCATGCCTGTAATTCCGGCTACTTGGAAGGCTGAGGCAGAAGGATCACCAGAACCCAGCAGGTCGAGGCTGCGGTGGCCGGGAGTGGCCACTGCACTCCAGTCTGGGTGACAAAGTGAGACTTCAACTCAAAAACAACAACAACAACAACAACAACAAAAAGGAGAATTGCCTAGATTTTTAGCTACTGAAACCAAATGGGTGATGCCCCTAAAGTCTAAAGATCAATATTCTGTCCTTGCCTTTTTTGACAAATAAAAGGTATTTAGATATTTGAAGTCATAGGTTGCTGAGACTGAGAAGTCAATGCTGAAAGTTTCTGGCACAGTGGAGTCTCTTTTTAATGCCAGTATTGAAGGCAAAACTGTCATCTTCATTTGAGGCTATAAATGGGTGCTGGAACTTTTCAGGGACATGCTAACCTATTCATACACAATCAAATCTGTATCATAATGAGGAGTGTAATTTGTTATGATGACATAGAAAACAATCTATGTTCTGTTCCAAGAGGCAATTAACTGAGGATCCTCCAGCTGTTGCTGGGGTAGTAGGCATGCTCACTGCCAAGGGACAGCTGATACATTGTTCCATATAGCAACAGTCCCCCCGCCTGTGACCTTTATTTCAGTGTTACTGAATGTTTACCCTAACACTGCTTCACATACTGGAAATACCTAGCTAAAGCCAGAGCTGCAGGTAGGCCCTTTTCCTAATGCCTACAAACATGCTAGTTTTCTTACTTTAAAATAATCTTCAATAATAGTATTAGCCACCATACTTATCTAAACCTTGCTGCTTCCTCAGGCTACCATTCAAGCCTTTCCCTTCCTGGTCAAAATTCTTCAGTAAACCAATCATGTGGCCTCATCTGCCTTACTTTATAATCTCTTATAATGTAGTTTTTACTCCTGGTTCCTCTTCAGTCATCCATTCATTCATACAAACACACATATTTTGAGTGTCTACAGTGTGCCAGGATCTATGCTAGGTGCTGGGGATACAGAAGTGAACAGAGACCTAGTCCTTGTTCTCAGAAAGCTCACAGTCAAGAAAGGAAAACTCTACTGAAAATACACTTTTCAGAGAAACCATTAACCCCACTTCCATCCTCAGACTGGCAGGTGTTCAGTTAATATTTACAAAATGCCCACTATGTGTAAAGCATGAGTCAAGGTACATGGAGATCTGGAATAACAAGGATTCTTTTCCTTCAAGAATTTCTGAGGAGATTAGACATTTATATGAGTAAACTTAAAGCAAACTAGAGCACATTAAGGGCCATAATAAAAGCTCAAACTAAATAACTTGTCAGTCAGAGAGGCAGAACTTTTCTAGCTATGAGACTCGGATGAGGTGGCATTTGCACCGCTTCTGATAACTAGAAAGAGCTCAAAGTGCTTCGCTGATTTGGTCTCAGATGTCTTCTTTTCTTCAAGAGATTATTTAAAGGTTCGAAGTATAAGTTGCACTTTATAGACATGAAACTGCATCCTAGAGGGTCATCATTTGTCTGAAGTCCCTCAATAAGCCAGTACACATGCCCACAAGAGGCCCTGTTTCCCCAACCCCCAGCCCTGTGTCTCCTCCATCAGACATGACTGCTTCTAGAGCAGACATAGCAGTGCCGTGGGATAATTGCATTTTAATTGAACTGTCTGTACTACTCTGTAGACGCCTCTGCAGAGATGGAAGAATGTGTAGCTTGATAAATAAAATCATTTTTGCTAATAATTGCTTCCACGCAAGGATTATGGATCTACCCTCTGGGAGAAGGTGCCACTAAAAAGTGTGTGTTGAGATTCGTTAATTTTTTTCTAAGTAGCTCCACAATTTGAGATGAATGTGGACTTCCTGGTATGTTCTCATATAGAAAATCAGTGCACCTGCAAATGGGTGTGTGGGCGACTTCTCTGTTTTCAGTGCTTGGGCTGATTAGAGTGCTATGGAATTTTATATTTTAATCTTCCACGTAAATAGCTTGTGTGGGAGAGCTTTGTCCACAGCCAGGGTACCAACCAGAGACTTTAAAGCAGGGTTTTCTTTGGAGACACACGCAGTCGTATGCTTTCTTTATGGTGTTTGCCCCACTTTGGGAACAGGGAAAATTGGAGTTAGGTCACTAGCTTATGACCCATTATATAAGTCCTGGCCAGCTGGAGATAGGACCGTGCTGCAGACCATACAGCCCATGGCATTCCTTGGGGCCCTTCCTACACTGGGCTTTACTTCCTCATCTACCTCAACCACCCCTTCTTACTACTTCTTCTCCCAGACTCTAGAGAGGCAAGATCCCCTAATATGGTTATTCTTCCGTCAGACTACAGGGTTCCAGCTCTGGTACTACCAGATTATTCCTAGGCAAGTTATGAACCCCTCGGAGTCAAGGTTTTGTCAGCCATAAAATGTGGCTGATAACGGTACTCCCTTTGGTGATTGTGAGGAACAAATGACCATATAAACATTTAGTACAGTACCTAGCACATTTTCATTGCCCAGTAAGTGTTGTCTAATTACCATGATTGTTCCGCCCCCATCCCATCATTCTCCTCTCTCTCTCTTTTTTCCCCCCCTCTCTTTCTCTTATCTGTGCGTTAGGCTTGCTGGTGTCTGATCACCCACGGGGCTGGTATTGGACTTGACTGATACTTAAGTGATATGGGACTTAAATAGCCTTTGTCTCTGACAAATGAGTGATGGGGATGCAGGAGATGGTATTATCACTTCTGCTTTCATTTAGTTTTTTATTAAGCCCTGAAAATAACACCTGCTTGTAACCACATAGCAGCAGGTTGAATTAATCATGTCTAAAATATAGTATTCCTTTTCCTAAAAGGAAAATGCTAAAGATATAAAATGGAACCGTGATGGAAAAAATTCACATATTTTGCATTTTGTTTTGCACCACTGTGTATATGGTCTGCAATCTAATATTAGCTCTTATGCACCACTCAGGTTACGGAATTTTTGCACCATCTCCCAGGCAACTAGAGGCTTTCAGGCCACTTTTGTCGAGGTTCCTGATGTTTGAGTGTCGTCTGTTTTAAAGTTACCTGTGCTCCCATCAAGTGAAGGTGTGATCCTCATACTGTAAAGTAGATCCTCAACCTAAAAAGTAGTCTTTTTTTAGTGTGAGTATACTCCTCCAATGGAGTGCAAAAGTTTTGAGAAAATGAGCTTTAAGTGGAGTTGTGGGAGGTCAGAAGATAGGAAGCAGAGATTAACAAATAACTAAAAATACCCTGTAATGGAATTTTGCTGTTGACCTTTGGATCCTCCACTCCAATGGCACCATCTGAGAAAGGGGACTTCGGGCATGGTCCTATATAAACACAGATGATTGTTTCTGGGTTATTTAAAAGAGTTTCTATGATTGGAAACCATGTTTCTACTTGGCAAAATAAATGGAGTTCCCTTATCCTGATATTTCCCTTTTCCAGCTCACCTTCTTGTGCTTTTCTCAACAGTTCGCAAAGGTTACCGGATCCAAGCTGACAAAGAGAGAGACTCCATGAAGGTCCTGTACTATGTCGAGAAGGAGCTGGCTCAGTTTGATCCAGCCAGGAGGCTGAGAGGCAGATGTGAGCACCTGTTAGTTTTATATGCTCTATTAATCATGGGGGAATTAGTACCCAAAGAGATTAGCAAACTTGGGCAGCCCTGGACTTGCAGGGCCAGAATTAGCAGGGGTGCTGGTGACACTACTAAATAAAGTAGCTCCAAGTACACAGAGGGGAGAAAAAAGGGCTTCTGGTGTGAAGAGTAGAGCAGTCCTCTATTAGCTTGGTTTAGGTCATGTTTTTCCATGGGGCCACCAGTACTGCTGGGGCTGTGCAGTCCCAGGGTTTGAAATGCTTTATTAAAATGTCTTTCCTGGTTGGGTAAGGTGGCTCACACCTGTAATCCCAGTACTTTGGGAGGCCAAGGCAGGAGGATTGTTTGAGCCCAGAAGTTCAAGACCAGCTTGGACAACATAGTGAGACCTCATTTCTATAACAACAACAACCATAACAACAAAAATAGCCAGGTGTGGTGGCACAGACTTGTAGTCCCAGCTACTTGGAAGGCTGAGGTGGGAGGATCATCTGAGCCCAAGAGGTCAAGGTTGCGGTGAGCAGTGATTGTGTTGCTGCCCTCTAGCCTGGGCGACAGATTGAAAGTCCCGACTCAAAACAAAACAAACAACAGTCTTTCCCTACTACTCCCTTTAGAATGTATTCAAAACGATGCTTTAAACTGTAAAAGCTTGACTATCATTTTATTCTAACATGAAGGACCCTAGAATGGAGGCCTCAGTGGAAGTGAAAGAACAAATCTGGAAAATGAAGCTGGGAAAAAGAGGCTGACATGTTCAACAGCAGAGATTATGGAGCGAGCAAAGAGGCTGCTCCTCTTGTCGAAAGAACTTAAATTACTAAGTCCGTAGGCGGCAGGGCCCCAACCCTTAACTCACCCCAGCTCTTGGAGGCTTTGTAGCTGACACAGCTGATTCCTGGGGTGGATTCCAAATTACCGTCTATCATGGGAGGCAGCACAGAGCAGGTCTGACGTGGACAGGCTAATTATCAGAGGGTGCTGGCAGGCATGGTAGTGAGGTCACCACGCTCTCTCTTTGAACCCTCCTCTTCTTGGAACCAACAAGAGACTTGACAGAATTGTTGGGGAAACAGTCCCAGACTAGAGGAGCTTTATTCAGATTAAGGACAACATATTCCACCCAGTTTGCAATTCTAAATTCATCCTGTCTGCGTTGTATCCATTGCTGTAGCCTCCCACCGCACTGACTATAAAAAGACCATTTCCAGATTGGAATGTCAGGAATGCAGATGTCACTGCACTTGACAAGCTAGTTGTAACAGTGTTGTCATGGATCCCTGTGAGGGGCCAGAGACAGAGTCAAGCACCAAGGAGAAAGAAGCCTGTGCAGGAAATCTGTGAATCTCAGATTTTTTTCTTGGAGAAAAAGTTAACAACTAAAGGTAAAACTAAAGGATGGATTCTGGTCTACCTTGATTAAAATGGTCTCCAGGGGCTGAATGGGCATTAGACGATGGAACCGGATAGTTGAGGGGGACTTTAGAGATGGACTAGGCCAGCCTCTGCATTTGTACAACCTTTGTGTACAGATGAGGAAACAAAAGTCAGAGGGGTCAGTGACAGAATCAGGACTAGAACCCAGCTCTTCTGATCCCTAGTCCTGTGCTCTTTACACAAGAAACTTTGGAGCAAACTGTGGATAAATCCATGGCTACAGATGCAGTTTCTGCTTGGAGACAGCCTTCCAGCTCACAGGACTTCAGAATGCTTGAGCTGGAAAGAACTCGGGCTGCTGAATCCATCTGCTTCGTTGAAGCAGAGAAGGAAAGTAACCAGTGCCAGGACTCAGTGCCAGCACTGGAACCCAGAGATCCTAGAGCCTGCAGGTTGACATTACAGTAGCTGCAGAAGTTCCATTCCTAAAGAGCAAAGTAAACCATGGAGTGGACCATGGAAGTGGGACAGTCTTCAAATCTTATTATACAATTTCCAGGTTGTGGCAGGGGAATAATAGATTCTATAAGAGTTGAGAGTTTGAGGTCCAGGCTCGTGGATTTGCTAGTCAGTATGGTCTTCATTTGCTTTGCCCTGGAGAATGCTGGGGTTGCTTTCAGGATGGTTTTAGTCTGAGAGGCCTAGAGCAGGGGTCAGCAAACTGTATCTCCTGGGCCAGATATGTTCCAATTCTATTTTTGTAAAGTTTTATTGGAACAGAGCCATACCAATTTGCTTATGTATCATCTATGACTGTTTTCCTACTACAGTGGCAGAATTGAATTGTTGGGCAAGTATGGCTCACAAACCCTAAAATACTCTCTGGCCCTCTACAAAAAAAAAAAATTGCTTACCCTTGTCCTAGTTACATTACTGGTTGTCTGTGAGGGAAGGGGATGTTGATGTTCATGTTCAACATGGTAGAGATTTTAGTGTAACATACAACTTAGACAGTCTATCACTGTGAATAGTGAAACACAGAGAGCCCTCACTATCTGGAGAAATGAAAAATGCTGGGCATGGTGGTATGCACCTGTAGTCCCAGCTACTCAGGAGGTTGATGCAGAAGGATCCCCTGAGCCCAGGGGGTTGAGGCTACCACTGATCATGCCACTGCACTCCAAACTGGGTGACAGAGTGAGATCCTGACTGAAAAAGAAAAAGGCCAAGTATTACCTAGAGTTAAGGAAAGTTCTGAGCCAACAATGTTTATTTTTCAGTGGTCTCACTTGGTACATTTTAAAGCCCAGGGATATTGGAATTCACAGGGATCCAATAGGGAATCCAATTCACAGGGATATTGGATTCACAGGGGAAAGTTCTAGATTTAACTAATCAATAGCATCTGAGTTATTTCCCTTAACATAAGTATAGTCCCTTCTTCCTGAAAGAAAAGGTTTTAAAATTAGATTATAATTAAAAACCAACTGATTGCATGATTTTTTCCCCATCATCCATTTCTTTATTGCCCTTCAGAGCCTAAAGCTTCCTCATGATACAATGTAAAGCCACCAATTCCAGCCTCTAAGTTTATTGGAATTTCTTTTCTGGTCTGGTGGTGGCAAACTTTTTTTTTTTTTTTTTTTACAATTACTATCAATAAATACAAGTGACAACCTCCCCTCCTCCAAGAGCCCATCAAATACCCTGTACTATTGTGACCATCTATTATACTTTGTTAAGGATTATAAAATTGTTGTCCTTTTGAAAAAGCTCAGTCCAAGTTATTTAGACTCATGTCACATATAGTGTAACTCAGCATCAAAGAAAGACCCAGTGGGACTATCCTTCTCGTTACAGACACATTGTGATGAGAATATGTGCGTAGAAAGCTCTCTCCATCACTGAATGGCATTCATGATAAACCCTCTGTCCCTGGTGAGGCCCTGCTGGGAGGTCATCCTTCATCTTTGTGCAAAAACCCCCTGTTCCTCCAAGGACTGTTGGGGATAGGGAGGAGGAAAGGGGAGGGGAAACTGGGCCACACAGTTGTGTCTTCCACATCTTAGCTTGGCTTACATTTGCTCAACAACCAGGCCTTAAAGCTGGTAAATGTTGTTTCTGATAATATTGTGAAGTCCTACTTGAAGAATTTAGAAAACAAATGGATTCAGTTACATTGCAAATAGTTTCACTCGATTTATTTTTTTGAGTACCATGAAATTCAATATACTTCAAAGTTTTATAAATTAATAATTGGTTTTTTCTTTCTTTCTTTCTTTCCAGACTGTGATTCTGGTCCTTGTTCACAAGTATTTTTGCAGAAAGCTACTCAGGCCACCTTAGGAAATACGGATGCTGTGACTAGACACCCCTCTTACATGTTTTCGGCCAAGACCAGAGTTTAAGTGGACACCCACAGGCCATAAGTGCAGCCACCCTCCTTTTCTTCCCATTCCTCAAACAGCTGGCCTAACCACCCATGACCACATACCCACGTATACCTGGGAAACTTTTGGGGGGGAAGGGAGGAGGTCTGCTTAGGGCCCAAAGTGGACTTGGTGCCACTTGAGCAGGATATTCCAGGTTCCTGGATGAGCATGGCCTAGGAGGGGATGAACGGACACTATGTGTGCACTTCTCCTTGACTACTCCTCTTGCTACATGTGGGAGGGGCACAGCCAAAGGAGGCCAGAACAGAGTGCCTCTTAAGCAGGGGTCTCCAACCTTTTTGGCATCAGGGACCAGTTGCGTGGAAGACAATTTCTCCATGGGGTTGTAGGGGTGGGGGTATTTTGGGATGATTCAAGTACATAACATCAATTGTGCACTTTATTTTTAGATCCCTCATATGCACAGTTCACAATAGGGTTTGCACTCCTATGAGAATATAATGCCGCCACTGATCTGACAGTAGACAGAGCTCAGGCATAATGCAAGTGATGGGGACTGACTATAAATACGGAGGAAGCTTCCCTCGCTAGTCTACCACTCACCTTTCTGCTGTGCGGCCTGGTTCCTAATGAGCTGCTTTGGTACTGGTCCGTGTCCCAGGTGTTGGGGACCCCTGTACGAAAAGCACATGGCAGTCCTGACTGAAGGCTCATCTGGGGCTGGACCAGCAGTAGAGAAGATGCTGTGATCTATGGCTTCTCCCTCTCTTTTTGTACCTTGTGGCGCAACACGCCTGGGATCATCATGGTGCATCACAGAATTATTACTCTACCACTAGCCCAGCCCAAGATGGGCCTTCAGAGCCAGGACTGCCATGTGCTTTAGAGGCACCCTGTTCCGACCTCCTCTGGCTATGCTCCTACCCATACAGCAAGAAGGGTAGTCAAGGAGAAGTGCACACCTAGTGTCCATACACCCTCCTTCTAGGCCACAGAAAGAAGAAAACATTTGAACAAGGATGGTATGTAGTAGGAGGAGGCCAGTTACCAAGAGCTCAAGTTCTGGAAAGCCTGCCTTGGGTGCAAGAAAAACAAAATAGTTCTCTTATTCCAAGAACAGAGTATGTAGGAACCTCCCTCTTTGTAAGCAAGTAGGCTTTGAACCAGAGCCAGTTCCTGTGAGCTAAGAACACAGATACCACTAGTTCAAGTCTATGACCCACCCCTGGACAGGGCTGAGGCTGTCAGGCAGGAGTTTCCCGGAGCCCAGAGTCTCTCAACCCTTGACAGAACTCCTTTCCTGTCTAACATGTAGAAAGCTCTATCATGCTTGATTTTGTTCGTGCAGATAACAACACCATCTCAGAACTCAGCTCCCTGCATGAAGAGGACAGCAATTTCCGCCAGTCTTTCCATCAGATGCGAAGCAAGCAATTCCCTGTGTCTGGGGACTTGGAGAGCAACCCCGACTACTGGTCAGGTGTCGTGGGAGGCAGCAGTGGGGCAAGCCGGGGACCCTCAGCAGTGGAGTATAACAAAGAGGACCGGGAGAGCTTCAGGCACAGGTGATGGCTGCCAGGTGCAGATCTGGCACTAGGTGTGGAGGGGAGGCACTGGGAGGTGGAGGATTTCTGAAGCTGGGTAGATGTTCTCCAGTAGCATCTTTGTCTCCTATCCTGGGTTACCCTCGCACATCTCTTTCTACATGCTATTGGATATCTCACACTTATTAAGCAAGGGAGCAGTTGTGACACCATGTGTAACCGTTCAAGACCTTTTGAAATGGATGCTCTAGAACCTTTAATGAACATATCTCTGGCTTTCTCATATATTTTATTCTATATCCTCTAAGAACTCTCACCACCTCCATCATTTTTTATCATGTTATGTGAAAGATTAAATGTCAAATACTTGTTACAGTTAATTCTCAAAACTCTAAAAGGCAGCAGCTATTAATGTCCTCATTTTAAACCGGGGAAACGGAAACTTCCAGGTGCTAAGGAATTTACCCAGGGCAATAAGGCTATCAAATGTGGGAAACCAAGATTTGCTATTCCCTCCAAATAGCACCTTCACCACTCATCTGTCCCTCACTTTGATAGGCGGTACAAAGACTTTGGCCTTACTTATCTGACAGGTTGAAAAAAAGAAAAGAAAAAGAAAGCAGACACTGCCTTTTTCTTACCAACCACTGGGGTCCCTCTCCCCTCCCGCCCTAGAAGGTAAAGTGGCCCTCAGCACTGAGGGGGAAAAGGCCTGTGTTACTCTATGTTACAGGGCCTCCTGGGGCCACAAAGTGTGTGTTCCCACCTGTGCTGGCAGTTGAGGGTGGGTTGATGTGTGGCTGTCAACCAGAGGTCACACCATCCTGATCAGAAGGTGACCCAAGGTGTGCTTAGCACTCTATAGATCACAAAGCATTCTAGTCACACAACTGCATCTTCATCTGTCTTACAAACTCCCGAGATAGACATGGCCGCCCTCACCTGACACAGACGCGTGAGACGCGCCCAAGGTGGGCGGCAGCCAGGAGCGGAGCTGAGGCCGGAGCGAGGACCCTGCCCGAGGCCCCAAGCACGAGGGCGCCCTTGGAGCCCACCCTCGCTGCCGGCTGCCCACGGGCGCCCG